CTCCGAATCAATAGTTGTTGTCTCCAGAGATTATAACTACCACAATTCTAAAATCCAACAGCTAGGCATTTAGGAAAATTTTCCAATTACAGTTTCTATTTTATCTACAAACCCCTAAAGTCTTTCTTCTACAGTATAGAAAGCTAAATCCATGAGCTTACAAATTGCACTTAAAATTTAGGAACTAAATTGATCAAATTGAAATTATATGGACCAAAGTGAAATTTGGGTCAAACTTTAGAGGTGAAAAATATAATTTGAGTTGTTTTACAAAAATTTAGATGTTTCCATAAAACTTTCTCCAAAACAGTTTGTCAAACAAGCTTTCTATGTTTTTTGGAAATGAAAAACAGAAAACAAAAAATGAAAATGATACCAAACAGACCCTGCAAGTACTAGAAAGTTAGGTTTGACACAAAACTATACGTAAAAGCAGTACATGTATAAAGAAGACCGAAGAGGCGGAAGAGCAAGCAAGCAGAAAATCAACATGGTTTCTGCTACACTAGTGTATTTTCTCTGTACACAGTGTGTGAGTTGTTCTTGAAGAAGTCCGGTCATTTCTACAAAAGGATTAAACCGATCCTTCTCAGCAGCCTATATTTGGATTGTACGTACAACCAGCTAAGCTAATTATTTGACCAACGGCAAAAACATGAATGGGAAGAGATTGTTTTCAGTATGTGGATTAGAAAACATGGTACTCCATTGAAAGGTAACACCAGGGTACCTCACTCTTCTAAAAGAATGTAAGATAATGGTTTCATCCCCGCGACGTGCATAACTGGTTCCAATTTCTCAAACATTATCATTCACTTCTATACTTAAAAAGCATGTTCCGAATTCTAAAATTTTGGTTTGCATTACAGTCAGAAACTCATTGAGATGACAGTAAAATAAAGGCCATTGTCTCTAATTCCATTTCTTAATGACCAGCTCTTATACTGCCATCCCAGTTTTTCTAATGGCCTTGTATAAACATCTCATTCCATATCACATCAGTTAAGCAAAACTCATAAAGATGTAGTATAAATAGAGATGGCAAATAGGCGGGTTTGGGTAAGTCAAAATAGGTTTTGTTATGTGTTAAAAACTACTCAGTCCAAACCCGTCCATTTAATAAACAAGTCTAAACGGGTTGGGTTAAATTGGATATGAGTTGAACAAATTAACCCAACCAATCCGGTTACTTTATTGAATTCTTTTTCCAATGGATGGTGGAGATGGAGGTGGAGGTGGAGGCGGAGGCGGAGGCGGAGGCGGAGGCTGAGGCAGAGGCGGAGGCGGTGGACTTGCGAGAGATATTCTGAGAGTTTCTGAGAGAGATTTCTGAGAGAGGTATTCTGTAACACCAATGGATGGTGGAGATGGAGGCGGAGGCGGTGGTACTAAGAAGCCAAAATTTTTTGACTTTAAAAAGCAATGGACGTGTAGCTTATAGTAAATATGGAAATGCAAAACTAGTAACATTAATACACATTAGCATCATAGAAAAAAGTTGCATCGGTGACTGTGTTTTGTAAAAATGTCATTTTACTTTATCGATCTTTGTTTCATGTCACTAGAGTTGCATGTAAATTAGTCTTTTGCAAGACCCAATTGACACCCGTGCCCAACCCCCCACAACATGTGTGCTAAGGCAAATTGTCTTTACCAATCCAATTAAAACCAATTAGAGATTTGGAAGGGTTTAAATAGGTTAAATTGGGTTGGTTCATAGATTCGGGTTAACTTTGCCAGCTCTAAGTACAGGTAACTAGGATTTGAGACTAATTGATCAAGCATCAATGAATAAGACTTCAAATGCAAGTTATGAAGCTAAATGATTTTTAATAAAACAACCTCAACAAACAATTGTACCATATCAAAACTCAAATGGATTGCAAACAACATGACATGTGAAGCTCTAGAAAGCAGCCAACTTACAGCTGGTGGCTACAACCCTTATTGTGATGGAATGGAACAACATCGCATATTAGATAGCTAAATGTTGAAAACTTGGAGAGTTCAAGATACAAGTCTTCCTGCCAAAATTGAATGCAAAAAACAGAGCAAAATACAGAGGAAATATGGATCCGGTGGGTTTGAACCCCCACTCATAAAATTTAATCATTGATAAAATTTCTAAGGACACTCACATAATACCAAAATTATCCCATTTCCAAAACATTACACACCCATCTAGCTGCACACCCCATAACAATTTGGACAATCACTAAAGTATAACCTGACAGATTCGCCCCCTCTCCTTCTCCAACCCATGACAGTGTTACCCAATTAACTAATAAAGACAAAATGTCAAAAACTGAAAGTTATTAGAGACAACAGCAACATTGCATGTCTTCATAATGTATATAGAGCCTCACCAAGAAATAGAACAAAAGTATTGTTGAGTAGTTAGAGAGAGAGGATGTTTAGAGAGGGAGAAAGAGAGAGGTCTACTTGGGCTTAAATCAACATCATGATCTTGTTGATGGTGATGAAAGCCAACAAGGGATTGTTGAAGATGTCCAATATCGGCAAAACACGTCAGCATTAGGGAAATTTCAGCTCCATTTTTTTCAAAACATTTGTAACGCCCTCAAAATAAACCCATAATATATAACATTAACATGCATTAATAAATTAAAACAAGTCATTAAATTATCCATCAGAGTACTATTATTGAAAGACATCACATGTAACATCAAAAGTAAATGCCCTAAGGGCTTACATCTTTCCAAGCCAACACTTGGACACAAAAGAATGAGTACTAACTCAATTACAAATTTAGCCCTTGGCTTGAATGTTTACATGTAATCTCAAATAAAAACAAATAACTAAAGACAAGTCCTCAAAGTCCAAATCCTACCAAGCTAAGTCCTTGGAGGTAGCATATCACCTGGACCTGAAAATGATGTTCCCGTATAGGGTGAGCCACAGCCCAGTAGAAATATACTAAACCAAACATAAGCATTGAATAAAGTAATAGCATTCAATAGATGGTTGAAACACAATATCAGTTTCACTTTCCATTATTTACTCAACTTCCCATTTTTATCAATATGGCTCAGAACCTGGCCAACTATAACGGTGAACTACATATCACATTAACATTATTTCCAATATCAACAAAACAAATGAGACTAAGGCTCATATCAAAACACTTCCATACTTCTCATTTGATACACATTTTAGTGCTGTTCAATAAATTCATTAATTCCATGAATTCAACTAAATTCCCCAATTTTCCCTAAATTGATTATATAAATTAATTTATTACAACAACTAGGGGTTTTTTCCAAAATTACTAAACAACCCCCAACATATTAAAATACCAAAACTTAGAACAAAACCTATAATATGGAGTAGGAAATCCCTACCTCAAATGATGAGACTCAAAGAAGATGATGAAAATACTCGGATGTGTTCCAACCCACAATTTTTTTCGGATCACAATGAAGATCAAGGGAAGCTCCACACTCAATACAAAGGAACTAGGAACTAGATGTATTTATAGAGAGAAGATGTAGTCTAGAGAGAGAAACTTTCAAGTTATTCATTCAATGAACTTCATTAAATTGATTAATGTATCTCATACATTCATGATACATAATGCATCTTCTATATTAATGAATTCATTAGTTACATATTCATAATAGATACATAATGTATCTCTAAGATCCATTCATAATAAATCCATCACATTCAATGTATTAGCATTAGTCTTCTATACATTGCATAAATAGATATCAATGATTAGTCACCATCTAATTGATGTACATGTACCCTACTAATGAGATGAATCTAGTATAATCATGCAAAATCTTTGAAAAGTTGTCATATATTATAATTAAACAATGAAGGTAAAAATCGGGATCGCTATAACATTAGCATAAACAGAGACCTCAAAAAATCAAAACCCAACCTCATTTACGCGAAAGAGAGAGAGAGAGAGAGAGAGAGAACCTTAGGTAGAAATAGGAGTGGTGATGGAAGTACATATCAGAATTAGGTGGAGGAGCTGCTGATGCTGCCACACTTTTGAGGGTGGGTGTTCCATTTCAATTTGTGTCCATTATAGGAATTTTAATTGAAGTTATAATTGTCATTAAAAAAAATATCAATATGCGGGGTTCCCTAGAAAAAAGGTGGGGGACTATTAGCACCACCTGGAAAAAAAAAATGATCTTAAGGTGACAAATTTTGGTGCTACAAACTACTTGTGTAAGCGATCTACCTTGCCATGGTTGATAATTCAAATCGATTTCATAATTGCAGAGCAAGACTTGAGAGAACGAGAGAATGATAAGAGAGAACAATGAGTTAGTTTCCCACAAACCCTATATATCTTCACAATACACATTTTAAATTTTATTTGGTATTTTCCCAAAATAAAAATAATAAAAAAAACCTGACAGAGCCAATGGCTTAGCCACGTAAGTTAAACATAGAGGTGGGTCTAAAAATTTAGTCTAAGGAGTGGGCTTGCATATCATTTTTCTATACTTATAAAAATTATATTAGTATCAAAAGCAATGGAAGTATAGCATAAATTTTGAGGTACACAGTAATATACACACACATTCTTATTATACAGAAAAGTTGCGTCAGCGACTGCGGTTTGTAAAATGTTGTTTTACGCAATTGATCTTTGTTTCGTGTCCCTAGGAGTTGCATGTAACTCAGCCTTAAGCAAGACCCAATGGGCAGTCGTGTCCAACCCGATTAAAACAAATTAGAGATTTGGGCAGGTTTAAATGGGTTTAATTGTGCATTCATGGATTCGGATTAACTTTGCTAGCTCTAAGTACAAGTACCTAGGATTTAAGACTAGCCAATTAGGCATCAATGAATAAGACTTCAAACGCAAGTTATGAAGCTAAATGCTTTTCAATAAAACAACCTCAACAAACAATTGCACCTAATCAAAACTCAAATGGATGCAAACAACATGACATGTGAAGCCCTAGAAAGCAGCCAACTTACATGTCTTATTGTGATGATAAAAAAAAACGTACCCAGTGTACGAAACTCCCGCTTAAGCGAGGCCTAAGGAAGGGTTGATGCGCAGCCTTACCCCTACATACGGAGAGACTGTTTCCGCGATTCAAACCCTCGACTACCAGGTCACCAAGGAGTAGCTTTACCGCTACGCCAGGCCCGTCCTTCTATGTCTTATTGTGATGATGGAGAAACAAAATGCAAAACAAATAGCACTTATAATTCTTCTTCTTCTTCCTCTGCAATTCACAAGTGCAATCAGCCCTAGCACATTCTTTCTTTCTTTACATACGGAATGCAAGTGCCAAAGATATCTCATATCAGTCACAGAGTGTAACGCCCTCAAAATAATAACAATAAACCCATCAGAAAGACATGCATTTACATTTAAACTAACCGCATTCCTTTCATTCATTAGAATTCCAAGACATAAGTATTACATGTTAATCTGAGAGCAACACCTCAAAATTTCCCCAATGCCCTCTGTTGTCAAACTAAGAAGTCCATTAAGACTTAGAGTCTGTAAATTGGGGCAAACAACCCCTACTTTTTTATGAATTCATCATTTAGATACACAGAACAAGTCAAATCCAATGATCTAATTCGATAATTCCTTTTCAACTCCAAGTTAAAATCATCTTCAACTTGTGGCTTTATATTAGGCAGTCCAATTTCCGAAAGCATAGGACATTCTTTTGCAAGGATGAAGAACGTTGCAGTGGTTATGTTTGAACACCGATTAAACTTCATGGACACGAGATTAGGAAGATACCGGCATAAATCCCTCATGTAATTGTCAGTAAGGAAATTATTGAAACAAAGTGTCAAGTGTGTCAAAGATGGGCATCCACATAAGAAATTCGAGAGTCCATGGAAGCTCAAACTAGAATCATCGTAGATCAAAATCTTCTCTAATCGAATGCCCGATGTTGAAATGGAAGACAGAAGTCGGTCATGATCTTCTTTTGCTTCTAACACAAGACTGCGTAAAGATGTTGCACAAATCATGGAATTCTCAAAAGTAAACAAATCATCTTGTACTGTGTAATACGGTCCAGCATCGAGAGAAATCAAGTTTCGACTATTCCGTAGTACAAAACAAATGCCATGTTCAGTTACTTCGCACAAACCACATCGAATTTCATGCAAAAGCTCACAATTTGAAAACAAAGCAATGAGAGATCGATCAGAACAACCAACCTGCTCTGCTATGTCTATTTTACGCAACCCTTGAAACTTACGAGACATTACCTCGATCCCAGCATCAGTTACCATGTGCTTTGTGTCTCTTCTAGGCTTTGAATTCCACTCATGATTCCAAAAATAGCCGAAAAACTGGATATCGAGCTCTTCAAGCTAGGGTAAAGCATCGGCTATAGCAACAAGGTGGTGATTTTGGAAACCCTTGACGCAACAACACCTTAGAATCTTCAACTTGTTCATGGTTGAGCCCAATTTCATAAAAGTTTTGGGGAAATGGGGGTTTTTTGTAAAGAACGGAGATAGAGGGATTGAAGATCCAACCCTGAAGAAGCGATTCTTCGAATGAGGTAGTTGACATCGGCTTTGTCACCAAAGATGGGATCACGAAGCTCAATCTCTTGGAGGTTAGTGAATCATTGAAGAGCTCTGAACAAACCCTCACAGTTATGGCTGTAGAACAATCTGTTTGGGACATTCAATTTGAGTCGAAGTCGATCGGTGATGGATAGGAATAGCTTGCAAACCAAAGAAGGGGATTGCAAGTGGTTGAAGTCATCGATTTCTAATTGATTCAGAATCAATTCCCAGCAATCTTCGAAGAGTTCCTTATAGAGGTGCTTCATGATTTGATTTCAAGAAACTGAAGTTCAACAAAAACAGATGATTTGCTATCGGCAAGAGAGTCGAGTATGAGATTAAAGAGAACCCTAGTTAGTTTGAAAGAGAGTTCCATACCAGTCAGTCACCTGGCCTTTTTTTTTTTAAAAAAAAAAATCAAATTTATCGATAAAAAAAATTTTAAAAGTGGAAATTCGTGAAAAATTCACTTTAATAATTATCTAATGTATTAGGTTCAGTTGGTTTTGTTTATTGGTGAAAAAGTTTTGAAAATAATTTTGAATTTTTTTTTAAAATTAAGTAGGAAATTTTGATGTGACATTTGATATTTGATATAAAAACCAACAACTCATAACTAAACATACAAATTAAAATTCTATTAAAGCACATAAAAAATTTTAAAAAATTCAAAAAATATTTTTTTCGAATATATAAAAATTAACATACCAATTGTAAAAAAAAGAAAAAAAAATTACACTGTTCCAGTCAACCGGTTAGGCCAAATTTCGAAAAAAAAAAATTGAAAATCGCACTCTCAAACAGAATTGTCTGCAAAGTTGTGAAAAATTAATTCCACAACCCTATCCAAACATCATATTCAAATATGGGAGTAGAAAACTCGTTTGAAAATCGTTCCAAATACTTTGTAAAATAATTTGGTAAGAAATTCTAGATAACATTTTATTTTTAATTTTACCCCTTGATTTTTTTTATATGTTTGACTTTTCGTTGACTATGTGTTTAAATTTATATTCAAATTTTGTTGTTTATCTATTCATTTTTTCTATGTAAATTTTATATCAATTCAAATTTTTCTGTTCAAATTTTTTATCTGTCAAAATTTTATCTATTCAAATCTTCTATCTATCCAAAATTTATCAATGTAAATATTCTATCTATCTAACTTTTATATATGTAAATCTTCTATCTGTCTAATGTTTTTTTATCAATTCAATAGATAGCAAACAAAGCAATTTGTCCAAATTTTACCGAAACAAAACAACATGTCCAATTTTTGCCCCTTGTATTTTATATATCAATCACAATTATTGCAAAACCATATAAAACAATAAAAAAAAAGAAGAGAGCGGTGAGAATCACACAGATAACAGATCAACAGATCAAGATCAAATCTTATCAGTTCAACAGATAACAAATTAAGATAAGAGAATCACACAGATAGTAGATCAACAGATCAAGATCAAATCTTGTCAGTTCAACAGATAACAAATTAAGATAAGAGAATCACACAGAGACGGTCTTCTTAATATTGTTTGATCGATCATTGATCAATTAGTCTTTGATACTTTTCAATTTGAATTCCTAGAACATACCATTATTCCTCTGACAATTGAATATCCCCACAAGAACATTTTCAAATCAACCATTACTATGAAACACAATACAATTCAAAACAAAAACATCAAGGTCATTCAAAAATCATGCAAAATTAAGAATTCAATTAGTGTGTTTATCGCTATTGGAAAATCATTCACTAAAATCCTCATTATAGAACAAATCGTCTTCTGCAAACAATTTGAATCGCGATTCCGCTTTGTTCTTGAGCTCGTCTGACTATCCGGTAGTGTTGCTGATTAATCTGAGCCCTTTTGAGAGCTCTTTAAGCTCGATCTTGTCCGATCAAGTTTCACTTTGATTTTCCTTGCATGGTGAACCGAACCAGAGTCTAGTGGTTCATCGGCGCCTGATGACAACCTCAATTACGAGAATTTCCTCAGATGAATCTGCGCCCTTTAAGGGCTCTCCGAGTACTGATCTCGTCCGCTGAAGTTTCGATTTTATTATTCACTCTAAAAAAGTTTTGATTTTATTTTCCTCACATTAAGAGCCAAACTAGAGTTCTGCAGCTTATCAACATTTGATGACGACCTCAGCCGCGAGAATTTCCTCAGACAACAACTATGGATGAGCATGATCCGAATTGGTCAGGATTGGGGTAAAACCAGGACCAGTCCGTTATCTACGATTCCTAAAAAATTGGAACCAATCCAATCCAATCCATTTAAATCATAGAACCAATCTGAACCAATCCATTTAAACCCAAATTAGATCGGTTTAGGACCATAGATTCACATAATTAAATAACAAAAAATATATATATAAAACATTTTAATTTCATAAAAACATAAACATAGCATCATATTAGTTCCACACTAGCAACATGTCTTTTCATAATAGCGACACATTGCTTTAGAATTTAAACAACTATAAGAAAACTAGTTCCACCACAAGTATTTTGATCATTACAAATTCAAACTAAAAACCAACAAACAAAAGCAATAAAAGAAGATACTATGCAGGTTTAGGTTTGGGTTTAGGTTTTATATGGAATAAGAGAAGATATTATGCGAGAGGGTGTATAATATAAATATAGGGTATTTGTATATGGTTCGGAACTGTTCCAATCCAGAACCGATTCGTGGACTACGGATTTTTAATTTTTAAATCCGGAACCAAACCACGGGTTCAAAAAATCAATCCAAACCTACTGGATTGAATTGGACTGGATCGGATTACAAATTTGATGGATTCCTTGCTCAGCCCTAACAATAGCAGGTAGGGAAATGGAGAGAGAAATAATTGGGTTGGCAGCAACAGTGACCCATGCTGCTCTCGGGCAATAGCACTTTTGAATTGCGTTCACTGAATAATATCATCATCAAATCTAATCAACATAGAAAAAAGAAATCAAATCATTAACCAAGAAATATGAAGAAGATTTGAAAATGGTAAAGATGTTATTGAGAGGTGTTCTTCAGAGATTGACTATCACAAGATGAATCTCTTCTCCTTCATATCCAAAATTTATCAATGTAAATATTCTATCTATCTAACTTTTATATATGTAAATCTTCTATCTGTCTAATTTTTTTTTATCAATTCAATAGATAGCAAACGAAGCAATTTGTCCAAATTTTACCCAAACAAAACAACATGTCCAATTTTTGCCCCTTGTATTTTATATATCAATCACAATTATTGCAAAACCATATAAAACAATAAAAAAACAAGAAGAGAGCGGTGAGAATCACACAGATAACAGATCAACAGATCAAGATCAAATCTTATTAGTTCAACAGATAACAAATTAAGATAAGAGAATCACACAGATAGTAGATCAACAGATCAAGATCAAATCTTGTCAGTTCAACAGATAACAAATTAAGATAAGAGAATCACACAGAGACGGTCTTCTTAATATTGTTTGATCGATCATTGATCAATTAGTCTTTGATACTTTTCAGTTTGAATTCCTAGAACATACCATTATTCCTCTGACAATTGAATATCCCCACAAGAACATTTTCAAATCAACCATTACTATCAAACACAATACAATTCAAAACAAAAACATCAAGATCATTCAAAAATCATGCAAAATTAAGCATTCAATTAGTGTGTTTATCGCTATTGGAAAATCATTCACTAAAATCCTCATTATAGAACAAATTGTCTTCTGCAAACAATTCGAATCGCGATTCCGCTTTGTTCTTGAGCTCGTCTGACTATCCAGTAGTGTTGCTGATTAATCTGAGCCCTTTTGAGAGCTCTTTAAGCTCGATCTTGTCCGATCAAGTTTCACTTTGATTTTCCTTGCATCGTGAACCGAACCAGAGTCTAGTGGTTCATCGGCGTCTGATGACAACCTCAATTACGAGAATTTCCTCAGATGAATCTGAGCCCTTTAAGGGCTCTCCGAGTACTGATCTTGTCCGCTGAAGTTTCGATTTTATTATTCACTCTAAAAAAGTTTTGATTTTATTTTCCTCACATTAAGAGCCAAACTATAGTTCTGCAGCTTATCAACATTTGATGACGACCTCTGCCGCGAGAATTTCCTCAGACAACAACTATGGATGAGCATGGTCCGAATTGGTCAGGATTGGGGTAAAACCAGGACCAATCCGTTATCTACGGTTCCTAAAAAATTGGAACCAATCCAATCCATTTAAATCATAGAACCAATCTGAACCAATCCATTTAAACCCAAATTAGATCGGTTTAGGACCATAGATTCACATAATTAAATAACAAAAAATATATATATAAAACATTTTAATTTCATAAAAATATAAACATAGCGTCATATTAGTTCCACAATACCAACATGTCTTTTCATAATAGCGACACATTGCTTTAAAATTTAAACAACTATAAGAAAATTAGTTCCACCACAAGTATTTTGATCATTACAAATTCAAACTAAAAACCAACAAACAAAAGCAATAAAAGAAGATACTATGCAGGTTTAGGTTTGGGTTTAGGTTTTATATGGAATAAGAGAAGATATTATGCGAGAGGGTGTATAATATAAATATAGGGTATTTGCATATGGTTCGGAACTGTTCCAATCCAGAACCGATTCGTGGACTACGGATTTTTAATTTTTAAATCTGGAACCAAACCACGGGTTCAAAAAACCAATCCAAACC